CTCCGGAAATTAAGTGTTTAATGCTCCAATTTTCTAGCGGAGGACCTCCGCTCATGTATTTCAGCATTTCTTATTTCTCCAAAATAATCTTCTCGCCTTGTTCTTGTGCATCGATCCTTTACGACCACTTTTCTATTGGATGAATGTTGTTTTTTTTTACATGAATTATTGCCAACTTTGTTCCAGGTGTCAAGTCAGATTGAACAGTATGTTTCATAGTAATAGTTAGATATTTTATTGTTAAATATTATTATTTTATTATTTTCACAGTTGGGCCCTTTTTGTGTGTTTAGTTGATTTGGAAATGAAGCGTTGTTCAGTTTTGCCCATGAAATTAACATTACAGTCAGGATATTTTAAGTAATATACATCCAGGATGCCCTCTGTCAAAGGTTGGAAGGCCTAAAAACAAAAGTGGGAGAACTGACCTCATCCATCCTCAAGCATGCCACCAAGCTCAAGGCTGAGGAAGTATCCAGGCCCTCCAGAGTAAAGATGTCCAGCTGAACGAAAAGCTGGAGGAGCAGAAAAAGTTCCTTATTGTCTTCCAAGCTCTGAAAGCTGAGGAAGAGGTAGGTCAGGCCCTTTCTCTAACATCTAACCTCAGTTAATATTGTTACTGTTATTGTTGTTCACTTCTAATTAATCCCTCTTTACTGAAATCATTTTGTGGATCCTAAATGTTTTCTTCTACTTTCCAATCCTGTTTATCATCTCGCTGTCTTGTGGCTCCTTGCAGGGTCCCATCTCTCAGGTTAGGAACCTCTGCCTTAGATTAATGTGATTCAAAGGGAATTGGTTTGTTTGGTATCACAAAAGTTTTCTCTGGTTGGGGTATTTTCTCACTGCTGTTTAGAAAGCACTTCTCCATTTTGATTCTTCTCATCAGAATTTTATTTGGCCAGATAAGGTTAATATAGTGTTTCAATTAGAAGCATTAGAGCCCTGTTCCAGCCTCAGTGTGTCATGATGGGTGTAGTATAAGTGAGTAGCTTTAAGGCATATACTATATATTATTAACCATCATTTTCTGTTCGCTTCCTCTCACAGTCTCTTCCTAGAATGTAAATGGTAAACCCCGAAGGAAATCATTGAACGATTTAGTTGGAACAAATCCTGTCTGTGAAAAGTAGAGTGCCACTCTCATCAGTTTTATTGAGCTCCACTCTGTGGGGTGACAACTCTATATACGGGGGAAAATCATCGCTGACAATAGAATGAAAATTACAATGAAAGAACAAAAGGAAATGGCAAGAATACTTTTCCTTCCAAGCTCTAAAACAGTGACTGAACCGGTGTGACTGCTACTTCACATAGAGAGTAGATTAGGCAAGCTTCCTTCAGCAGTCTGCACAGCGAGCCTCGAGCAGATCTCCTTGGCATGGTGGGCTGCTTCTGTATAAGCTCTGTTTCAATGGCTTTCCCACGTGACTGCCTTACCAGTGTGTTTGTGTGTGTGTGTGTGTGTGTGTCTGGTGACTGGTGTCCTAAGGCTCCCGTTGTCCCCTCCATCTTACATTTTGTTTGAACTCGATTTGCAAGTCTTCCTATAGGTGTCTGACTGTCATGGGGAAGCATGTATGCAAATTCTTTATCCGTGCAAGTGTTTGCATTTAAATGTGAGTGTTCCTTTGCATTGATGTGTCTGTCAGTCTATGCATGCGTGTATAACACAAGCAGGAAACCACACACACACCAACTCAGCACCTGCAGCATTTGCCACCTACCTGCTGTGCTCACAGCTCGGCTGCCGGTAATTCATCATCGCGGCCTACGTTCTGCCATCACATCCAATTATTAGGCGATTAGCAGACACACACATACACACCTAACGATGCGGCATCACTTCCCATTAGAGCCCCACGCATCATGACTGTAAGACAGGGTTGTAAATGACAGGGAGGTGCTTTAGGGGAGGAGCACTTTTTGTGTAAACTTGCTAAAACCATCAAAGAGGAGATTCATGCTGAAAGTTCAGTTAAAATAACATTTAGTCATCCCTTTTTAGAGGTAGAAAATAAATGTATTCTTAATAGTCATTTAATCAAAGGAAAGGAAAAAAAGGTGTTTGGGGAAATAGCAGAAATGCTCCGTTTTGTCTCAGAAGCTGGAGGGCGTGTCGGCTGAGCTCTGGCACCGGCAGGGGAACAAGAGAAAAAGTAAACAAACTTGAGCTGTAGCTTACAAGCCATGGATGGACAGTGTGTTGTTAGTGGTGGTAGGACCACACCCGCATCTAAGACTTTTTTGGGTGCATTCACATGCTCTTTAATCATTTAGCTGATGCTTTTATCCAAAGCACTTACAATTGCTGTACATGTCAGAGGTTGCACGCCTCTGGAGCAACTAGGAATTAAGTGTCTTTCTCAGGGACAAATTAGCTGATATGTCACAGTGGGATTTGGACCCCAGTCTCCCACACCAAAGGTCTGTGTCTTTTCCACTGCGCCACCAGCACCCACTACACCATCACCACCCATTCAGCAAGCTAAGGTGCAGGACAACGTGTGTTCATGTTTGTAAATTAGACTCCAGGAGACTTTAGCAGGAAAGCTAATGTGGGTTGTTGTTCAAAGACTGTGTTGTGTAGCTGCTGTCTATGATAGAGCACTGATGTTACTGCTTTATTCAAAGACTCTCAGACTCATCTACATAGTCGGAGAAGTAACTAATGCAAAGATAGAGAGCGCCATTAAGAAACCAAAAAAACTAAATTGAATTTTTCCCTTTTGCTCTCAGATCTCTTTCTCAAAAGAGAACACGAGACAAGTGATTTACAGAGCAGATATGTTTGCTAAGCAGAAAAAAAACATCCAAGTTAATTTCAATTTGACCTTAAAAGTCATACTTATTAAAAGGTGCCATGTGTGTAATTTTAATGTGAAGAAGTTATTACGTTTATACTTTATATAATAGTTTTGCTTTGAGGCAAATATTGCTCTAACAACTGTAACTAGGCAGGGCAGTTTCTCAAAAGCAGTTCCTTGGGTACTAGTTAGAGAGATATTAAGTACACAAACAGTTTGGAGCATCATGTTGTGGAAATACAGGTTACACTAGCTGTGTGGAAGCCAGTGATCATCGGTCCCGAATGCTACTATATCAATGTTTGCGCCTCTGTCCAGTTCTTTATTGGATTTGGTGAAGTTTACCCAGAGATGACTCTGCCACATCAAACACATGACTTCATCCCTATTTTGCAGGGTTCTGGTTTACCTGCAAGTCAGAAACAATAGAAAGTCAGGCTGAGACAAAGCTTTCATCCCACTCACAGAGCTAATGTTAATCAGCTGCTCAAACCTGGCAGTGATAGTTGTCATTTCTACAAAACACACACCGAGAAATGAGAAGCTGCTTTTGTCAAATCTGAAATAAAGAACCCATCCTGAAAAAAATTCTGCAGTGTGTCTGCAAGTGTTTACAGACATTGCAAGGTCTGCTAGAGTTTACATCTTTGCTGCTGTTTATTCTCATGCCCACTTGAATTCATCACTAAGTGCGAACTAAAAGGCTAAAAAACCATCTGACAAATTCAAGCCATCCTAACAGTGTTGCTTTTTTCTTTTTGCTACGGTGCTAACTGCACTCATATTAAATAAACTGGAAAGACCACCACATCTACAGCCCTGAGCACACCCATCCTTGGCTTTATTCTCAAGGACTTCAGCCAATGCTGTTCATGTTGCAGTTCCCATGAATTACTCAACCATTCAAATGGCTCTTTTTGCTGCAGGCTTGCACAGACACATGGTCAAAACTCATGTGGCTGTGCACTCCTACACATGATTCTGCAACAATTTTGTTTATGTGTGCCTTCAAATTTAAAAGTCTTTTTCACTGGCAGAGAGGCAGAGTTCTTTTGTTTTCGTGCATTTTCATATATTTCTTGGTATTTCGGGTTATATTTGGACATCAGTTAAGGCTGTTCGATGCCACATACATCACATACTGTATTATATGCACACAAGATAAACCATATTATTAGTTTTAAGTCTCATGTTTCATGTATCATTCTCCTCATAAGCATTAAATGTATGCTTAAGTTTTTACAGGTAAAACCATCATAAAACCTCACAAAGCTAAACATAAATTTCATAATCTTGAAATAAACCAACTTTCTGATGAATTAATTGAACTTCCAGGGACATCATGGCTGTGGTCATGTCCTGAGTTTAGTTAGTATGGATTACCCATCCCCAACGTACGGTGTAGCTCCTCATGCAATTGGTGTCCTCAACACTATTGTGCGTGAGATAATACACAGAGTCATAGCCCAGCTACTCAGAACCAGATCATCCATCATCCATCGACAGCAGCTATATGATGTGAGGCAAGTCTTTGCACACTTGGCTGGTCATGCAGCATTTAGTTAACTGTATTGGACCAAGTGATGCGTGTTATGTTATGATTGAAGCCCTGATTATACCTGATGCACAAGAAATCTTCACCAGAAAACTGTTTTTTTCTGACAAACAAAAGGTCTGTTTGTTGATGTCTTTATGATTATTGTGAATCATGACAGATTCACAACAGTAAACAAAACTATCTCTGTGTCTCAAACCCATACCCATACTAATTGTATACAATGCATTCGACGTGCTAATTATCATAGTATTCTGTTTTTGCAGTTAGTATACAAAACAAATATACTTAACCACATTCTAACAGGGAGTGATTCAATATGTGCAACATTAGACTGACTATAAGTTAAAGAAAACAGAAAGCAAAATGTCCTCTTTAAGATTTAGCACTTTTTTGTTTTCCAAGACTTTGTGGAACCGTTTCACCAGCATCCACAATTTATATATTTTTTTTCCCAGCTGTGAGCAACTCCTCTGTTTACTTTCTGCCTAGCAATGAGGCAGAATCTAAAACTAAAATGTTGGACAAATTGAATGTTTGATCTCATGATGAGATTATTGAGGTTATTAGAATTCATCACAAATGGTCCTAAGCAGTGAATCATGAACCTAAAAGCACGCTCGCACAGGTCTGATGAGTGGCAGTCAAACATAGTTTATTTTAATCTTTCATGGGGAAAAGTCAGATGGGGCGTAGGCAGTGGAGCAGCGTGGCAACCAGGAAAAGGCAGGCAGGTCAGACAGGGCAGACAGTAAAGGAGTTCCAGGTACACATGGTCCTAGGCACAGGGATACACATGTTTAGTCCAGAGTCTTACTTGAAGAAGAAACAAAGAATCATACTGGCCGTAGTGCCATTATTACTTGAGGTTAACTGACAATCTGGCAGAGAATGAGGTGAAGAGCCGGGGTTGATATACTGCAGCTTCTTGATTAGTTGAATGCAGGGCAGGTGAGCAGGTGGAGATTGTCAGCAGGAGCCAGAGTGTGAAGCTACCCCAGACAGACAACACACAGACAACAGAGAGAGACAGAGAGACTAATGGGAAACACAGGGAAGTGAAAAACAGTAGGAGAACAGAAGGGATGAGGAGGAGATACTGCAGGACCACAACACAAATGTTTGTGCCACATTTCATAGCAATAGTTATTGAGACATTTCACTGAAAACCACTGACTTGCTAGAGGTGGTGCTAGAGGAAGTGAGTGTGGGGGTCAACAAAATCATTTGGACATATTGTGTAGTAATATTGAAAAGACTTTGTCAAATCCGATTCAAGACACTGGTCGTTACTTACCTTGCTGCGTAATTTCATTTATATACAATATTTAGGACAATCCAGCTAGTAGATGTTAACACTGACCTGCTGATGGCACTAGATGAAAAGTAACGGGAACACCAAAGTCAGCGTGAGTCATCCTCTGGGGATAATGAATGTCTGTACTAAATTCCACAGTCTCTCATTCAGTAAGCACTTCAGTTTGGACCAAAGCAGTTGTCAGTTGTTTGGTCAGTCGTTCCGCCACTACACAAAAAAACTGGACAAGATCTATCTTTACAGCGACACTTTGCTGTCTGGTAATTGTATTTTTGAGGATGGTGGCAACTGCAAATGGGAGAAACCACCATATTTGTAACAGATGCTACTGCATGCAGGGTCTGTGTTAACTGAGAGAATGAATAGAAGACTCAAACCTCAGTGGATGTCTATTCTTCAAAGCACTGTAGCTTGGTCCCCTCTTGGGTCACCTCCACATTGCAGTTCTCATTGCACAACCTCAAATTGGTCTTAAATACCGGAAAAAACAAGTTCATGACGTTCACTAGAGCAATCAAGAGAATTTTAGCCTTAGCACGCTACATGGCGCAGGCATTGAAAGGGTAACCTGTTACAAATATCTTGGTATTTGGCTGGATGATAAGTTAGCCTTTAAAGTAATTCAGGCCAAACTTTGTTTATAATTTCAAAACAAGTCTTGTTTCCCCTATTAAGCGAGGGAAAAAAATTGTGCAGATTACCTTTTTGTTTGTTCTTGACTAAGGGGGACCTGCTGTGTATGCATGCAGACTCATCGCTGCTAAATAACTTGACTCTGCATACTATGATGCAGCGTAGCGTTTTATTACAAATGCAAGATTGTTTGAAGACTCACACATCGCTGCACATTTTACCAAATTTTGGACTGGCCATCGTTAAATGTTTTGTGTGTAGCATGAAGGGACTACAAATCTTGTTTCGTTATGCAGCCTTGTGCTGGATAATGACAAATAAACAATCTTGTACCTTGTATTAGCTACGTGGAGACAGCTACATTTGTGTATTCTTATCTATAAGGCACTCTTATGCAAATTACCAAATTCCATTAGTAGACTTTGCGGCTTTTAAAAGTTCCCAGGGTGACCTCATTGTAGGAAAAGACTACCTTCTCATGTGGTGCACCATCTACTTGGAACTCCATGCAAATGGGAGGTGCTGGTGCCTTTTGCAAAGTTCAAATCCTCGATTCCAGAGATTTTTTTAAAAGATGAATGTAAATGTTTTAAATGAGCAGACATTACTTTAGTGTATTTTATCTTCATGAAGGCGTCTTCATGTACTGGTTTTTATAGTGTGCTGTTGCACATGTGCAGGGCCCATAGGTAAAATGGTTTTGATTGTGTTGTTGTCATTTTCTGTCTGTGCTGTCTGACTTGCTGTCCTGCTGCCTTTCTTGGCCAAGGCACTCTTGAAAAAGAGATTTGATCTCATCGGGTCCTCTGGTTAAATAAAGGTTAAATAAAAAATAAAAAATAAAAACCTGCGATTACAGGCTCTACAGTTCTTCTTCCTTTGTATCATCTTATCAGTAGGTCACTGATGACAAGGACCGTTAGGATTCAGCTGCTGAAGGATTGCTCCTTTTCTCGATACTACAGGCCTCTGGACATGAAGTCTGTTATTTCTGTTGGAAAAATAACAGATGTTCAAAAAATAAATACAACCTCGAGTGTAATCCCTGATGTTTACACATTAAATCTGAAGCTGTCCTCTGTCATAAATGGTTTAAGAACACCAGAGTTCTCCCTTCTTTGCAACAATCAAAGGCTCAAACAAGGTAAATTCTGTATATATGAATGAAGATGAGCTGGAAGAGAGATGTGAGATTTGTTTTTAAGAAGATGATGGTTCCCCCAGGTTGCAAGTATCCACTGTGCTGCCAGCTGTTGTATGGGATCAATTGGATTGTGAAAAAACATTTTTAATAATGCATCAAACTGGTTTCCTGACATTATAATGTAGATCATTGGTGATCTGGCACTCGGTCATTTCTTGAAGGTTGCTTTTTTGTTTTGTAATGCAAAAACAAATGTGTTTTTTGTATTATGCTTTTCTATTTTAACTGATGAAAAAATAAAATTCCTGCTGTGTTCCCTTACATCCATATGTAATACATCCATCCTAATTCAGATTTAAGTTAAGAAAATAATGTAAATGTATATTTTTATATGATAAATCAATATTTTCAAAATTAAAGTAAAATTATCACAGTCTGGATTTTGAAATGTGTTAAATCAAGTGTGAAATAGTTTCGGGAATGTTTTAGAGGGCTTATAGAAAAGCTGATGACATAGCATGACAGGAAGGTGAAGGTCACATTGGATGATGATTAAAATGATTTACTTTTTTGGGGGAATAATCCATATTATAACCAAAGTGTGCCACTGATAACAATACAACCTCTGCCTCAACCAATAGCTCTGTTTATAAAGTGATTTTCCCTAATGTGATCAAAAATTAATTGGATTGTGCTATGATTATTGGTGTGAAAAAATTGATTAATGCATTATGAAATGTTCATGGAATCTTTCTTGCATTTTTGTGCACACACTCTTTGTAAAATAAAATCACATGTGACTCTGATTGACAGAAGTGCTTATGCAGTGGTTATGGATATGGGTTTATAGCTTCAAAACAATATATGGACACAGAGGTCTATTGTTAAAGCTTGTTGTGTTACAATTAATTCTTTTTGGCTGCAAAATGCAAAGTCAGCAGGTAATCCACTAAACTAGCTGTAAAAAAAACACAGAAGCTTAGTCAGCGATGTCGCCATAAAGAGCAGGTGTGTGTGTGTGTGTGTGTTTGTGTGTGTTTACGTCTCTTCCTATTGACTTCTACTGACCTGTGAAGATTGACTGCTGCAAGCCAGCTTACTGTGGACAATGCACCATAGATCTTTGATCGGCTGTGATATCTCTTTCAGTGAACGCAGCAAAATATATTGGTTTGTTCTTTGTTAGTGAAACAAGACCAGAAAGTCTGTAGCAACACTAACAACCACGTGAGGCTTTAATGCTCCATGCACAGCACAAAACAGTATTTTGCATGCATAGAATATTGAGAATTAACAATTGCAAGACCTGAGGGGTGGTGGCAGAAGAAAGGACACGGATTCATACCACAGATGTAGTAGGAAAGCTGGATACTGTGCCGCCACTCAGCCAAGCCAATTTATTCCACTGGCCACTTGCAGTACTGCAGCAAAAATATCCCAGGTGGCCCAAAAAGCATTTTCCCCATAGACTACCATTATAATAGAGGAGTCTATAAAACTGTTGACAGGACACCTCCAACTGCTAACAAGGTTTTATAATTAACTTTTAAAATATCAATTTGATGTATACAGAGCCTAGAGAAGTGATTTTAAGGTACTTGATTGAAACCCAGTGTAAAGTCCATGTGGGCCAGCAGGAGAAACACTAAAGCACATGTGCAGTGGGCCACAAGAAGCAAACCTTCTGCAGTCTGTCAGTAATTTTCATTCAAGTGACTGAGTGCCAACTTATCTGAAGTGAAAATGCTCAGGAGTCATAAATAATTGATTAACAATAATAAAAAATAAACGATTGAAGTACCTGTTATTCTAGGTACCATTATTAAAATCTTAAGCAATTAACTTTTTAACATTTCTTCACCTAAGCAGGGTCAAACCGCTGCCATTGAGGATGCTAAGATCATTTCCTCTGTATTTTAACAACCTATGGCAGGGGTCTGCAACTTGCAACTCTTTGGCCCCTCTCTAGTGGCTCCCCCCCGACACATTTTTTGATCATTGTTGTATGCCTAACGTCATCCTAGAAGTATTCAACTGTAAAAGTATGTAGCATATATATACTCCTAAGATAGCTATGGATTCAAAATCCGGTACTTGTATACTTTTATAAATGCACCAAAACATTGCGTTGGAATTGCAAAGTTAGTAAAGTAGCCAAATAATCATGAATATCCTACAGGCCCACTGCAGCCACCTTGTGGTAAAACAAATGTATGAATGGTGATTTAGACCTTATGTGTTCATAAGTTAATTTAGTCTAATAGGCTGTAGTATCTGCATTTAAAAGGCTAAAATACTTTTTTTTGCAGCTCCAAACAGGTTTTTCTTGGAAAAAAAATAGAGTAAACCATTGTATTTGGATCACCCTAACCCTACTTTAAGCCAAAAATAATTAAAGCAAGGATTAAGTATTTTCCTAGTAGTAGAAGTATATTCTTTTTGGACCCAACATGGTCTAAATGTAACAAAACAAAATATGATTAAATAATGAACTGAATGGAAGAAATATCAGACAAATCCAAAAATAAAACACTACAAATTCAAAACTATTGGTTTATTTTAACCACAAGCAGAATCTTTCCCTAACCTTAACCAAGTATTTTTTTATTTATTAAACTTAATCAAAACAAACTTTTTTTGCATTATGAGAGACGCCAATAGAAAATGTTCACATTCTGTGAAAAGCAATGACAAACCACCAATTATGTTGTTTAGGTTACCTTTGCAGTTATCTCAAAATACAGCTGAAGCTGACAGAAATCGGGTCATTTGTTTTGTCAGTATACTCTTCTATAGGCAAAGTTATATGTGTTGGTGGGCTACTTTAAACATCAGAATATCAGCAAAGTCACCGGGATTCATCCTCTGGAAATAAAGTATATCTACAACAAATTTTACAAAGATTTCTGACAATTGTCGAGGTATTTTGTTGGACCAACAGTCAGATATTAACATTCCTGGCTAAAATAACACACAATGTAACACAACATACATAAATTAAAGTTATATTTGTTGTTATGATGATGATTGTCTGTTTTATGACCCAATCTGAAGAACCCTCATATGTCGTATTTGTAAATTAAATTGCAGTGCTAAATTTGATGATGTTAGGTAAGGTTGTAGCCCACATTT